GGGACCTGGCGCCTGGGATTTATCGAGCCCTGTAGTAATACGTGTCTCCCAAGAATTGTTGTAATAATGCCTTTCATACTTGTATTTTTGTCACAGGTTTTGACTTGACTGCTGAATATGTTGGAACTTATATAAACAAAAAAATAAATAGTATACGGATGAGGGGTTGGGTATCTTGCTAAGGCTTTGGTATGCAAAATCTAGATGTACAAAGTGTTTTGATTACATGGCTAATCCCACCTCTAGCTGCTGTCTCTCAGACAGCCGGTAGATGGTGCTTCCGGCTTCTTAGAACATGAAAAGTGTTTTAAATGACACTGGACATCCTCCTGCTGTGCATGGTGACCTCCAGCGTCGTCGCAATCCCCCTTGGAAAGCATTGAATAATGCTTTCCTAAGGGGAGGTCTAATGCGCATCCACGCCACTGCTGCGCATGTGAACTAGACCCCGCTCATCGTGGGACAGAGGGGGTGGAGCGTCAACTCAGCACAGAGGGACCTCTGTACAGGGATCGTGTAAGTAAATGGTTTTTAACACTTTATTTACCTGGAGGGCGGGTGGGGAGGGGTTTGCTAGGGAGGGAGGAGGCAGAGGGATCGGTATTGCCAGCAATACAGCTTTGCATTCCTGGCACTACAGTATCCCTTTAAGTCACTGGTTCACTTTTAGGAATGGGTTTTCTTCAAAACTTGTATTCTAGTTTGTTCCTAAACTCTACTTTGGAATTTTGCAACTGCGTGGGTATTTTTGGTTTGCATAATATATTAATAAAAGAACCTTCAGCCTGGGAAGAAATGTATGCTTTTGATATTTGTACACTGAACATAAATACAATTTGCCAATGTCTCACCCTATGTCACTAAATACCTTTTTGTTTTCTTTGTTATAGGATTCCTTTTGGAATATACGTCGCACATTTATGGCGATTCGCCGTGTAAGGACAGAGTATTGCCAGGCTCAGCACAGCATTGGCGCAGACAAGTGAGCTGGGAAGTCTGTTGGTGCCACCAAAGTCCACCCTTCCAAATTTTCCCTTCCATCATTTTTGTCTACTGCAGCAAATCATATGGGAGTTCTTATTTATTTTACTCCAGAGCTCCACAATTATCACTACTGTTGTGAAGGGGAGGAGTTAGTAAAGAGACAAATTGTTGCAGAGTTGTGCTCTGCAATAACTTCTTTTCAACCCTCCATGAGTGCCTCGTTGCGGTAGACTTAACTCGTAGTTTTTGTTATATAAATATATATTATTTCTCCCTCGTCCCCCCCTCTTCATTAAGAAGGAAAGTTCCCATCCCAGATGTAATGTAAGAGATTCTTTTTGGATGCTATTCTGCATCCCCCACGAAGTGCTTCTTTTACGAAAACCTGCAGTTACCCCCTGGGACTTTGCAATAACAGGAATTTAAATTTTTTCCCCCCCTTATAGATTTTGGTAATCTATTTTTTTTTTTTTTTCTTTTTTTTTTAAAATAATAAACCTTTATTTTTTTTAAACTGTTCACAATGAACCGTCCAGCTCCAGTGGAGATATCTTATGAGTGTATGCGTTTTCTAATCACCCACAATCCAACGAATGCCACGCTCAACAAGTTCACAGAGGTAAGCAACAGCTAACTGATCTGCAGTATTAAACAAGCTGTAAAAGATTAGCAAGGGTTTTGATTAGTATTGTACTCTAAAAGTTCCACATTTTAATGAGCTTTTGTCACACTTGGCAGTGGCAGCAGCGTGTTTTGTTTTTTGCGTTCTGTTTTAAATATATCGGAGTACATGGATACAATCATGCAAGTAAAGAATTGACATTGTAATATCAAAATTATTTCCCAATTTAATGTCTAAGATGCGCATAGGTGTTTATGGTACTTATAGCATCTCCATCTCCCCAATGTAAGTGGTCCTAGAGATTTTAGATTTTATCTGCAGATTGCCAGGTACTACTCCCCCACCTCTTCAAGCATGAAGGGAGGGCCAGATACTCCTGCTAGATGCTACAATTGGCCTTATGGAGACCATCCATACATATCTGGGCTAAGCTCCATGTAGCAGGCTTCCAGCTGCAATGGAGTCAGGGAAAGGGCCTGCAAATGACCGTTTAAGTGACTGTCATGTTGCATGTTTTGTTTAAGTTCCTTGTTCCTCTTTTTCCTTGGTTTTAATTATTTTGAAATATAACTTAGATTTTTAGTAATACTTAAGTAAATGTAGGGACTACATTTTCTCATGGGGTGCAGGATCTTTGATAATGGGCAAAGATTAAAGGACCTCTCCACACTTATTTAAAAACAAAAAATTAAAAAAAATCAGTTTAGATATACCTTTTTTTTTTTTTTTTATGCATGTATTCATTTGGGGTATATCCTAAAAGCAAGTGCAAAAATCTGCGGTTCTTATGAACTGCAGCCTTTGCAAGCCATTCCCTTTTTCCTGGAAGATTATTTCCAGTCTTTTCATGGGGAAATAGAAGCCTCTGAAGCTTTCCAGCGGGTCTTCTCGTGTGTGTTTGTGTGGGGGAAGAAAAATACCTGGCTGACAGCCAGATTGGTATTCCATTGTTTATAAATTAAAGTGCTGATTTCTCATAAATTTTGGCACTTTTATAATGTGCTTTTTTTTTTTTTTTTCAAAAGGCAACTTATAAAAGTGCTGATTTTTCTTTAAAGGGACACTATAGTCACCCAGACCACTTCAGCTCAATGAAGTGATCTGGGTGCCAGGTCTCTCAGGTTTTAACCCTTCACATGTAAACATAACAGTTTCAGAGAAACATTTACATTTGGGGTTAATCCAGCCTCTAGTGGCTCTCTTCCGGACAGCCGCTGTCTTCTCTTGGGCCCCAGATAAGAGAACAACTCAAAAAGTTGATTCCTTGCAATAGGTGAAGTACCAGGTTACTCCTGACATCATAACCTCTACAGTGAGCTGTAGCGGTGATGGTACTTGAAGGCTTTTAAAAATTATATGTTCTTTCTTATAACAGCCTTGAATTGTGTATCTATGAAGGAGACAAATATTAACTAGTGTGATTGTGTCCCTTGGGTACATGTACACATTTATTTCTGATAAACAGGTGTGTGCACAGAGGTGCAGTTCTTCAATTTAGAATAATTCTGAACCTTTGCCTTCTAGGAACTAAAAAAATATGGTGTGACCACCCTTGTCAGAGTTTGTGATGCCACATATGATAAAGCTCCAGTAGAGAAGGAAGGCATTCAGGTTCTGGTGAGTATACTCATTTCTTGCTAGTTATGTATAGAACTAATTGCCTGCTGTATTCCCTTTGACTAAAGAGTGGTATTTTAACATTGAAATTTATATTATGCCCTAATATGTAAAACCATAGAAACATAGAATGTGACGGCAGATAAGAACCATTCGGCCCATCTAGTCTCCAATGGAGAGAGAATTTACTGGCGCTTTTAAAAATAATATAGATGGACATTGTTTTTAGTATATTATGTGTACATATAGATTTATATTTTAAAACAATCTACTTGTATATGTATTTTTACATAATTATGTGGTATTCATGAACTATAATATGTGGGAACTGGTTGACAACCTAGACAGGAAGTCTAGAGATTTTATTTTGCTATTCATATTTAACGCTGTAACTTTCCAAAACCTCCGTAAAACCTGTGAGACATCGCTGAACACAAATATTGCTGCTTTAGAGCAGTAAAACACACTGCCTAATACTCACACCAATACTATGACACTGTGAACAATATTGCCTTTGATTTCACTTGTTACTCTTTAATTTGATAAAGCCCATATGCATCCATACCAATCCTTCTGATGGTATGTATTTTCCATTTTGACATTTTTGCAGACCATATACAGAGAAAATCAATTTGAAATGTTCCCTGCAAACTATATTCTTGCATGATTGTCAGTGGAGTTAATGCTTGAATCATTTTATGTGTGTATTAAAATTTATACAAAATAAAGCCAACAGGGACTTTGCATTCTAAACACACAGAGCTGCAGTATGCAGTTTTTGCTTCTTTTTAACTTGCGTAAAACAAGACCAGTACGTTTCTACATGCTAATCCTATAATGCCTATTGCTATACCTGTTTGTTTTACCAGTGTGTAATCACATTTGCAAACCTGCATTTCTATATTGCATGGCCAGCACAACTGTGTTTCAAATACAAAACTAAAAACAAAAGGTAGAAAAATTTAAGAGATAAGTGACTTTATTTGTATTAGCATTTTTTTTGTCCATTTTCCACTTGCTTCATGTCTTTACAATATCTTTCAGGATTGGCCTTTTGATGATGGAGCACCACCCCCAACACAGATAGTTGATGATTGGTTAAATCTCTTGAAAAACAAATTTCGTGAGGAGCCAGGGTGTTGTATTGCAGTACACTGCGTGGCAGGTCTTGGACGGTATGTTATTTATATGTAAAATACATTTATCTAGGCAGGGTTTATTAACACTAACCTTTCCTTCTCCACAAAAAAGATAAAATTTCTGCATGGTCAAGTGATTCCAATTCATGTTCATATTTTGTCAACTGAAATGCGAGGGACACATTGGGCACCATAACAATTTAATCTCATTGAATTGGTTATTGTGCCTGGAGTCCCTTGACACTTTCCCTTTTTCAGTGTTAAACCATTTTTGCCTAGTTAAACTCGAAGGCCACTCACAGTACTGGAGGTGTGGCTAAGGCAGAGATTACACTTTGCTTTTAGCCCATCACTACACCAGTTTCTGGTATTAATTTGTATGTATTTTGTATGGCTGAAATGGTCAGCTGGCACTCTCTCAGCCAATCACAACCATCCTTTGTTCCTCTGGTTAATGTATCCTCATTCGCCCGAACAGTACGGTGAAAATTGACATCTGGGGGATTTGGTTTAGCATTAAAAGATGGAAAACATTTTAATGCTGAATTGAAAGATGGCATCATGGGACTAGACACTAGAACCACTTCAATGAAATAAAGCTGTTACAATGTCTACATTGTTTATTTAAATAACTCTGTAGTTAGAAACTAAAGGTTATCACTGCTGAATGAATCTCTACTAGTGATGTCACGGACGGTTCGCCACGGACTCATCATTGAGTAAACTTTGACCCTGTACCTCACAGTCAGCAGACACATTTCAGCCAATCAGCCGCAGACCCTCCCTCCCAGACCCTCCCACCTCCTGGACAGCATCCATTTTACATTCATTGTGAAGCTGCATTCTTAGTGAGCTTTCCAGGAGGTGGGAGGGTCTGCTGCTGATTGGCTGGAATGTGTCTGGTGACTTTGAGGTACAGAGTCAAAGTTTACTCCATGATGAGTCCGCGGCGAACCGTTCGGGACATCACTAATCTCTACCAAGTCTTGCTCCATTCGTGAAATAAACAATAATCAACACAATGTACAGCTTGGTTAGTAAATAGGGCCCACTTGTGAAACCCATATTTAATGAAGAGTGCACCAAATAAATGTTTTGCAACTCCTGTCCTTTTTTGGAATATGTATATTCCCTTACACATTGTATTTGGTGTGCTCTGCATTAAATGTGGGTTTCACAAGTGGGCCCTGTTTTCTAAGTTGCACTTTGTGGTGATTCTAATTTTCTTTTGTGCAATATTTACACATATGCTGCACTAGTGTTTAATACTATAAGGTCAGGAATACATGTTTGTGTTTCTGACCGTTTAGTGTTCCTTTAATTTATAAATATACACGTTTTCTTAATGTCAAAATATAAATTTTTTTTTTAGACTTTTTATCAATTTGCTCCCAATCTGTTTACCACATTACAGATATTTTTACCTTAACAGTGTCCTGTTAACTTGGCAGGTTTATATTGATATTAAAATCTATTTTTATTTATTTTTCTTCCTCAGCTTGTACACCTTGTTAAATCTACAGTCCTTGAAATTAATCTTGATCTAGAATACCCTTTTAACCTGTTATGTGTTCTATGTAGCACCACATTAAGTAGTCTTAAACGCCATTACAGCAGCATAGCCCCTGAGCCTCAGGGTACTTGCCTAACCCTGTGATCCACTTTGGGCGATGGTGTCTGTCACATAGCTGGAATAGCAGTCTATGGAACTGCTTTCAGGGGGACTAAAAAAAAGTGTATATGCATGCAATCTTTTTACATACTTAAATGATTTTATTAATTACAATCATAGGTGTGCACACCCTAATCTACTGACTGAGCAGTTGGGCACTTTAGTCAAGGACTGGAGGCCCAGAGCAGGAAGGGGCCCCGCAGCAGCTGAGCAGTATTGGGTCTGTTATGGAGATAAGTAAATCTCCATAATAGACCACAATACTATCTGAGTGCCAGTTACAGGCATCCCTGACTGCACACACAGCCTTTCACACTGCTTACCCTGCCAGCTGGTATGCTGGGGAGTGCTCTGTACTGCAGGAACTTCCTGTTTGTTTGAGGGGCTCTGGCAGGATCTGACATCAGAGCCTCGTCCACTCCACACACAGCTCCTCCAGGGAATGTCAGCAATGTATGCAGGGAGAATAGTCAGCAGCACACAGCCACTGTGCCCACGGTAGAGGCAAGGAAAAAGGGACACTGGGAGGAAGACCTAAATGGTGAGGGAGACAAGAAAGCAAAGGGGATTAGGAAGAGACATAGGTAGAGGCTGGACTCTCTCTCTCTCTCACTCACTCGCTCTCACACTCTCTTAAATTGCAGCGTAAAACTGTGAGGGAACACAGTCTTCTCACAGCTTAATTGTGACACAAATGGTTAACACAAATTACATGATGCTTTACTATGCTGTTTCGACACTGTTTGTTATTTAGGCCAAGTCTTAAGTCGATAGCTTATGTTTCCTCAGTAACATGGAGTAACTGGAACCAGGTAGTCAATCCTGCCCATACCGGGTCATTACTTTCAGTACTTCAAATGCTACATGTATTTGCCTCTCTGGGATGCCTACCACTCTCTTTATGCTTGCCAATTTCTCACTCAGATGCTTGCGTATCGTTAGCCTACGCTCCCAGAGGCCGACCAGTGCTATATTTTATTTTCACTTTTTATGTTTGTGCGGAAATAGGATTTCAGTACATAGGCCTAATTATGAAGTTCAGTCAATCTATGCTATCACTGACTTACTAACTTGGCCTACCAAAGCATTAACTTGTAACGCTAGATTGTGAGGGAATACATAGTCTTACCATTACTCAACTAACTCTAATACGTATGGTTTCCAAAACTTATATAAAGCCTTACTAACACCCTGACATTTTACACATATTTTGGCTAAGCTTAAGGAAGATGGCTACTGCTACCTTCACTTAGTACCATTGCAGAAACTGGAGAAATGACATTCCACCCATTTAAATCATTTTAATAACCATATTCGATGTGTATGTTTCCTCTGTGAGACTACCATGTAGAATGTTATCTATATCTTATGATCATCATGTTTTGATGTACCCAACTGTAAGCAATTACTACTGATCATTTTTTGTGTTGCCCATGAACGTGTATGAATAAACCCTGATCTTGAATAAAAAATAAAATAGAGTACAAAGAGGTGTCATTAATGGTAAATTTTCAAGCTGGACAGAGGTGGCAAGTGGTTTCTGTTCTGGGACCCCTTCTATTTAACATGTTTATAAATGATCTTAAAAAATTGAAAGTCACGTTTTAGTGTTTGCAGGTGACACAAAACTCTGTAAAATATTACAATGTGAGCAAGATATTACTTTGCTGCAGAGGGATTTAGATGGACTGGGCACTCAAATGGCAGATGAAATTGAATGTTGAAAAATGCAAAGTTATGCACTTCGGCATAAAGAATACACAAGCAACGTATACCCTTAATGGAAGTGAATTAGAGATAACCACACACGAAAAGGACTTGGGAATTGTTATAGACCACAAACTATGCAACAATGTGCAATGTCAATCAGCAGTGGCTAAAGCTGAATAACCATGCTTGAAAATGTGAAGTTTAAAAATAGCCCATTTATTTCTTTAATTTTTTTTAGGGCCACACAAGTGTGTTTTTTTTATTTTTTTTTTTTAACAGGGGCCCTATAAAAGCTTTTTAAACTTTTATCTCTCTATCGATCGCACTCGATCTCTCAGAATTTACATATAGAGGGATGAATAAAATTAACATTTGACTTGTATAACTTTACCATATATGGAAATATTCAGCCCTGCTATACAGTCACTCTAAAATAATTTTGACAGTTTTTTTTTTTTTTTGTTTTAAATTTATTTATTTTATATTTATACATATTAAGACATTCAATGATATTTTGGATATCAACACACTATTCAAGGCTTTGATAGTCTTTTCAGTACTGGAGTTAACAATGCTTATTCTAATTTATTGTCATTGTATGTAACTGGCAAATTCAGGTTCATTCAATTTATTATAAATTCTCTTCATTTCAATACTATATTGTCTAAAGGTGGGGCAGAATACTTATAGCTATATTTGTTCTAATCATTTTAATGAAGCTTTTCTCGTGTCTTCTTTCCCCCTATAGTTGGGACACATTAGTATCTAGTCTGACATTCACACATCACTAATCTGTTTATTTTAGGGCTCCTGTGTTGGTTGCTCTGGCGTTGATTGAATGTGGGATGAAGTATGAGGATGCCGTGCAGTTTATCAGGCAGTAAGTAAGCTTATTAATGGTCTTTCTGTCGTTCACTCCCCCTCCCTATCCTTTTCTGCTCTACCTCATGAGACCTGCTCCTGGTAAACAAGCCTCTGTGCAAGCTGCTTGTTAAACCGTTTTTCACAGATGCATCTTGTTGAAACAAGGTATAAACAAGCTGATTTAGTTAACCGTGTAAAGTGTGTATGAAGGCTGGGATCAGACTTGCACAGATCTGCTGTGCTGCTGGAATTTAAAGGACCACTATAGGCACCCAGACCACTTCAGCTTAATGCCTGGTCCAGCTAGGGTTAACTTTTTTTAAAATTTTTTTTTTATTTTTTTATTTTTTTATTTTTAAACATAGCAGTTTCAGAGAAACTGCTATGTTTACACTGAGGGTTAATCCAGTCTCTAGTGGCTGTCTCATTGACAGCTGCTAGAGGCGCTTGCGTGCTTCTCATTGTAAATGCTTTCCTATGAACTGGCTGCATGCGCATTCAGCCGATGACATCGCTAGGAAGGAGAAGAGGAGGAGGAAAGCTCCCCGTCCGGCACTGGAGAAAGGTAAGATTTTAACACCTTCCTCTCTCCAGAGCCCGGCGGGAGGGGGACTATAGTGGTCCTTTAAGGTATAACATTTGTACACCTTATAAATGCAAATTTCACATTGGCTAAACTGTAACATAAGTCAGTTTCATTCTCTGTGTTGTATGTTTAATCTGTGGCTAATACAAAGATATACTTTTAAGTGTTTTTTTATTTATTTGTTAGGAAACGAAGAGGTGCATTTAACTCAAAACAGCTGCTCTACTTGGAGAAGTATAGGCCCAAGATGCGACTGCGGTTCAAGGATGCCAATGGACACTGCTGTATGCAGTAAAAGAAGAGTGAAAACCCATGGCTTTTTAATATGACCCCTGTGCTCAAATGTATTTGAGCTATATGGTCCAAATGTGATGCTGGATCAAAAAGGTGGACTGGTTTTGTGCCTCCGTCCCAATTAAATGACTAAGTGCCACCATCTGCAGAAATAAAAATGGAATTAAAACATGTGTCGGTGAAGGACGTTTTTTTTTTTTTGTTTTTTTTAAATGTGAAAACAGAATAGTGGCAAAGTTGTATTACCTGTCCTAAAAAACAAAAAAATGATGTATGTTTATTAGGAGGGTCTGCTTAGTGGTGGCTTACGTGTGCTCTACTGACTCCCTTCTAACATTACATGGGTGAACAGCAAGATACAACTTACACTGAAGTACACAATGTCCTTCATTAACAGCAGGTCTTGTGTTGGTTGTCAGATTTTATCTATATCTTACAAGTAAAGTATATCATGCCAATGTGAGGTTTATTTTTTGGTAGTTAGGGCTTGTCTGCACTATTGTATGTAAATTAGAATCAGACCCTTTCACTTGGGCACAAGTCTATTAGGACTTTATCTAAATAGCTTTGTGATTAAAGAAGAGCTGATATAAAACTATATTTGGTGACTGTTAGTGCAGTTCAAATCAAAGTATACAAAGGACCCAACAACCTGTAGCATTGAAAATGTAAACATCAGACACCAACTGTGCAAAACACCATAAATGTAATTAATTGTGGTTGTGTTCCATTTTTGTGAGTTGTCCCAGTCTTTTGATGTGGCACACTTTCTCTTTAAAGCCATTCTTAAGAGGGTGGGATACAGGCACGTAATGGGATAAAAAAGAAAAAAACTGATGAATGGAACTAACTTACCATCATATTGGCAGCTCCCAAACTGTATAGCAAAAGGGAATGATGATACTTTTCATTCATATTGTATTGTGACACACATTTTCCCCAGAGTAAGTAAAGTGTGACCAGGTAGGTGGAGGAGACCTGATAAATCTCGATCTAGCTCTTTACTGCCACAGTACATATCCAAATTGTGGGGGGATTTTTATTTTTTTATGCTGCAGGCAAATGTGAAAACTACAGTTAACCTACAAAATTGGATGTTACCCTTATTTCTTACATCAGAAAACTGCCATAACATTTTTTTAAGTTTGCTTAAAACTGATGCCAAAATTAGGGAACAAAATGTTCATACTAAGCACCATAACGTTGCATCATTTGGAAAGGTTATAGTGCATCATCCCATACCAGCATATAATTGCAGCTATAACGCTTATTCTAGAGGCATACCTTGGCACCTAATAAGGAAATGTATATTGTCATTCACTTGCCCCATAGAAACTGACATTTTTGTTTTGCACCACAACCTCTTTTTACTATAGAGATGAATTGCACACACTCTGGTGCCTGTGGGCAGCTCTCGAGATTGCCCTGTGCATAAAACTGTACAGATCTGTGCGTAAACTTCTGACTGCCTGACCAGACTATAGAACAGTTCTAATCCTAAAATCTGATGAGTGGACTTTAGCCTATAGGCAAAACTACATTTCCCAAAAATAACTAAAGCGGTTTGTGGGATAATAGACCAGAATTAAATTCCCAGTTGGTGGAACCTTTAACTGGTATGTGACCTGGACTTTCCTGTGCAAGTGGTGCAATTTTAAGAGGGGGAAATAACTCCACTTTGCTTTTAATCTAACATCTATATACTGCATTAACAATGTCATTTCCTACATACCTTTTTGATGCTCCCCATTATTCATTATAAGTGAAGAATGATTGAGATGTTTAACCCCTTAAGGACACATGACGTGTGACATATCATGATTCCATTTTATTCTAGAAGTTTGGTCCTTAAGGGGTTAAGTATTAACAATGCCATTTTATAGACATGTAAGGCATGCTGCAGACCAGTCATGAACTGACCTTTGGCACTCCAGCTCCTCTGCAACCCCCAGGTCTTGGTTCTTAACCAGCCCAATCACACTAGATGTTTGTTCCAACTAATGTGATTTCAAGGGGCTTTCAGCCACTTAACATTAGTGCTTTAACTAAAACATTGCAGGATTTAGTTGCATAATAAATGAGGGATTCCTTTTTATTTTATTTTTGTTTCTGCAACAAACTATTTTAACACCAATAATTTTATTTATATCATATTACATACTTCTATGGCTATTAACTTTAGCACATTTCCATGAGTGAAAGTCACCTTACATTACAAATAAATAGCATTGATTCTTGAGGGCAAGTTTTTTTTTTTTTTGTGCTAGATGGGTTCAAATATGCCATATTAGCTAAAAAAAAAAAGTGAGCAGTCCTCTCTAACCCATATTTATCATATGGACACTAGAAATAGATCTCTTCCACATGTACATTGACCTCTACATTGCAATGGTTTTTAGAATTCTGAATCAGTGGCTTAATTTAAATTTTTTTAAAATCTAAATAGAAGAACATTCGCACTTGTACTTGCTGTTCTCCCTTGGATATGCTGTATTTTATTTCCCACTTACGACAGATATGCATTACATCTGGAGGGGGAAGGTGCTTTGAATTTGTAATTTATTTTGTTTCCCCTGAGCCAAATTGTTTATACAATTTTAAGATGTTGATTGGCAAAGGAGTAGACATGCTGGCAAACTAGAATATTACTTGGTTTCAAGAAACATGTTAAATAAAATATTTTACACATTCTAGTCTGTCTGAATATGCATTACTTTTTATTTTCACTATCTAAAGTTTTTGATTTGAAGGAAGTAGTATCTGCTTGTCATGATTAAACCATTTAAGGACCTTCGTCACTGAATTAATTTCACCCTAATTAAGTGCGCACACATGAGATTAATTTTTATTTAATTTTCATGATGGAAAAAAATACACATAGAAACATTGTTATATTAGAGTTTACAATTTTACCAATCACTACTATTCAATTATCACAAATCAATAAGTTATTTGCAAAGGAGTATGTAGTTTTCTCTAGGGTGTATCTTTACATGTTTATATTTACTATGGTAATTTAATAGAAATAAACTGGTAAGTAGATATAGTTAAACCCCCCACCCCCAAAAAAAAAAAAACTATCAGTCTGAATGCATAGGACATTGATTCAAGGTCCTTATAAAGGGGGGGTCAATAAAGATTAAGAAAGTTTTGTAGGAATTTAAAGGTATTGTTCACTCAGGGCAATCCCACCAGGTATGTAAGAAACAAACATTTTCACATCTCCAACACATTTGTGATGTGTTGGGATACATTTTATGCAATCTAACTGGAACTAAATACCAATGCAAAGATATTTTGTACTGAGTCTCTATTAGATTCACACTGTGAATGTAATTTCCTTACTATAATCAGACCCTTCACCCATTCTTCATAATCCATTTCAGCATTTTTTTCAATTTCCCATTTGATCCATGGTGAATTTTTTTTTTTTGGTTGCAATTGGACAAGAAAATTAGAAACACTGGAAGTGATCTTATGTTTCTTAATTTTTTTTTTTTTCAATCGATCAAATGGTCATTACAATTTTTTTTTTTAATGAAATGTTTTAATCTAAGATAATTTTATGTTCTCTAGGAGGCCTATCTAGTCTAGACTGAAGCAAATCAAAAGACAACAAAGACCCATCTGGTGTAAATCTTTTAGGTTTTTGATGCTCTTTTCCACCTTAACAGACTGTCATCTATATCCAGCTCTATGCCTTATAATGGCGTATTAAGCAGAAGGGAATTTCGTAAACCTAACACTAATCTTTAAATTATATAAGACTGTATAAATATCTCTGATTAGCGGGTTTTGAGTACAAATACTCCTGCTTGCTTTCTTCCTTGGGTCTATATTTGACCAGAGTAGAAAAAGAGTTTCTACTTTCCCTAAATTTAGTTTTTCCATCTCCAACCAAATAGGTCTGGTGGTTGACAAATTATAACAAGCAATGTCATGTGCAATCCTATTATACAAAGAAAAAATATTGGGAAACTATAATATCTGAGGAAGTTCTGGGTTTCTTATCCTGCCAAATGAATTTATTAATTGAATTTCCTTAAGTACTAAATAATTGAGTACTATATTTTTAAACAAGTATAAGATTTTAGGGAACATGTAGGATCTTACAACTTCCGCTCTTCCCATCCAAGATAATTCCATCCCTTTCCAATTTGATAGTTTTTCTAAGCTCACAAAGTTTGAAATTATGATTTTCTTTTCTAATATCTAAATCTATATATAGTTTAATCCCCAGATAATCTATATATTTAGAATGCCAGTCAATATGTAATCTGGATTTAATATACTCAAAATCCTCAATAGATATGTTATTCAATAGTATTTGAGTCTTGCTTGTTCAGTACCACATTTCTGGGGTGAGTTCAGATCCCTAACAGACTAAATTATTAGACATAACACATACTCATTGTTACTTGCTTAAATACATAGACTCCATCCACCCCCTACCTTAGGACCTTCTCCAAATATATTGAATTCCATACATACAATTTAATCTGCTACCGATAAATCCTCCAGGGATTGCCGATAAAGGTCCACACCATACTACCAAAGCACAAAAGGATCAAATGCATTTGAGTCCGTGCTTAGACCTGCAGCTGCTACAGGACAAAATGGAGCCCAGTGAGAGAGGGAAACTACACAATGTTTGTCTCTTTTGATATTCAGAAGCTAAAAAAAATCAAATCTCAAAACATTCGCTAGACTACAGATTGACACCTCAATGGAAGGAGAGTAGAAGGAACCACTGGAGAATCGTCATTTCCCCGTTCCGCTCCCCCATCCCTCTAACATCGCGTCTCATTTTCTGTTCTTTCTGCAAATCTGTATTGTAGTTATATATTTCTAAATAGGTGTCTGTGAAAACTGTGCCGTTATTCTTGTTATATCTATTCGAGCCATTACCCCCCCCACAATCTCTGCACCCCCTGAACCATTCCTTCCATCCTCAACACGGTGTTATTTGTGGCAATACCTTGAGTATATTTCTATTTAAAATTTTATATCAACATTATTGTTACTACTATAGAAAGAAAGTAGAGAGAGTGTGTCAGGTCGCTGAAGCTTGATGGGGGTAACCCCTAAATAGAATGTAACTGAAAGGAGAAAGTGCAAGCAAGCTAGAAGGGGAAACAATAGATCTAAATAGTATCACGTCAGGCTTCTTGGACTATAACAGCAACCCCTAGTACATTGAAATAAAATAAAAATAAATATAACTTTTAATAGAGATAAGTTTTAAAAATCTCTATATATAAACCAATAGTGAAAAACAGAGAGGAACAACGAAAAGGAGATACTTGCTAACCTGTGTTACCCCTATTGGGTGGTAGCACCTGTGGTACAGGGATTTTCAGGGTAAAGAAGTAAACTGTATCAGTTAACAGAGAAAAAAACAATCATATATATATATATATATATATATATATATATATATATATATATATATATCCCCCAATTCCCATCACCCAGTACCACCATGGCAGCAGGATCCCCTTACCCTCTACTATGAAAAATGTAGCCAAAAAATCTTGGTGGCTACCTATCTAACATTATTGTTACGTGCATACATTTTCAAAATCAAGAATGATCGTCGTTCCCTCATTGCCATTTCCCCATCCCCCCATCACTACTTCATATAATTTCTGTTCTTTCTGTGAGTGTGTATCATTATCTATATAAGCTTTAAAAAACTTTTGCTAATATATGAAAAAAACAGTGGCGATTACAATTTTTGTGTGTTATCGCATTAATTCCTTCTATACCTCCAACCACAAATAAAACAGTTTGCATTAAATATTACAACTGCTTATTCTATCATAGTTAAACCATCCCCATTAACGTAACTGGAGGAAGAGGGGAGGAGAAGGAAAGAACAGCGAATGATCGTCATTCCCATCCCCTGTCCCCCCAACACCAAATCATATATTTTCTAAACTTTCAGTGGATGTTTACCATAATCTAGATACATTTTCAAAAACTTTTGCCAGTATTTAAAAAAAACCAGTAACCTCTATACTATACCTCCTCCCTACGACAAAAAAAAAGTAAAAATCTAATTCAAAAACTACTGGGAACATATCCACCGAGCTTATTAGGGACCTCATAATGTGAGCTTCTTTTTAAGTTCCTGAGAATCTTTAAAGAAATAAGAAACATCCTGAAATAAAACCAGTAGGGCAATGGGAAATGTCCATTTATATTTAATGTTTTTATCACTTTAAAAGGTTCTTCTGATTTGACGCGTTGCAAATGAAATATCAGCGAATAGTTTGATATTCTTGTACTCTCCTTTTTCGACTATTTTATTCCTTGACGCTTGCATTATCTTCTAAGGTAGTAGTTAGTAAATCTGACTATAAAGTCCCTTGGTAGAGACGTGTTTATGCTTTTATGTGCTGATACTTTGCAGGCCCGGACTGGCCATCGGGCACACCGGGCGTGGGCCGCGGTGGCCGTGGGGCCGAGGCCGGCAGGGGAGGTCCCAGGATCTCCCCTGCCGGTCTATGCAGGGCCGGCACTCTCCTAGCGCCGGCCCTGCTGTTTGCCACGATGGGCCGGTGGGGAGATCAAAGCTCTCCCTCACCGGCCCACTTGCGGCCGCCGGCGGGAAGAGTGGGAGGGAGCCATCCAGCCAGGATAGAGGACCCGGCGGAGCTCTAACTTGCAGCTCCGCCGGGTTCCTCTCGCGAGATCCAGCGCGTAGCCATGGCAACGACCGGATCTCGCGAGAGTGAACTCTAGCCTCACAGGCTAGAGTTCACTCACCCACGAGGACCACCAGGGAACACCGCCACCCTGCCTCCCAGCGTGCCGGACCCCCCCCCTCCCAGGCTAAAGGTAAGAAGGGAGGGGGGGGGGGAATAATGCCTGTTTTTTGTTTATTTACCCCACCCCCTACACACACACAATAACATTTATACAGCACTCTCACACCCATCCCACACAGCATTCTCTCTCACACCCATCACACACAGCACTCTCACACTCACAGCACTCTCTCACACAGCACTCTCACACCCATCACTCACACAGGGCACTCTCACACACACACCACACTCTCACACACACACCGCACCCCTCACATACACACAGAACCCCCCCAACACACTGCACCACACACAATACTTCCAAATATATATATATATATATATATATATATATATATATATACATATATATATATATATATATATATATATATATATATATATATATACACACACACACACTACACTCTTAAAGGACCACTCTAGCCACCCAGACCACTTCAGCTTAATGAAGTGGTCTTGGTGCCAGGTCCTTCTAGGGTTAACCCATTGTTTTATAAACATAGCAGTTTCAGAGAAACTGCTATGTTTATCAATGGGTTAAGCCTTCCCCCAAAGCCTCTAGCAGCTGTCTCATTGACAGCCGCTAGAGGCGCTTGCGTGCTTTTCACTGTGAAAATCACAGTGAGAGCACGCAAGCGTCCATAGGAAAGCATTATAAATGCATTCCTATGCGACCGGCTGAAAGCGCGCGCAGCTCTTGCCGCGCGTGCGCATTCAGCCGACGGGGCGGATCGGAGGAGGAGAGCTCCCCGCCCGACGCTGGAAAAAGGTAAGTTTTAACCCCTTTCCAGAGCCGGGCGGGAAGGGGTCCCTGAGGGTGGGGACACCCTCAGGGCACTATAGTGTCAGGAAAACGAGTATGTTTTCCT